TACCACAAGGCAGTGTCTTGGAACCTGTGTTATACTTACTCTTCACGAACGACTTGCCTACCACCGTTGGTACTGAGATTAGAATTTTTGCCGATGATACTGTGGTAATTGCTACAGACGAAAATAACCAGTTGGCATCCAACAAACTCCAGCGAGCGCTAGATAACATTTCCCAGTGGCTTAAAACCTGGAGAATAAAAGCAAATGAGACTAAGTCTTCACAAATAACCTTTACAATGAGAAGGAAAAATTGCCCTCCGGTACGACTTAACGATATCTTAATCCCTCAATCTACCCAAGTGAAATATTTAGGAATACACTTTGACACAAAACTAACTTGGAAGCACCATATTTTTACTAAAAGAAAAGCACTTGGCATCAGACTGCGGGAGCTCTACTGGATACTGAACAAAAGTTCTAAGATTTCCGTAGAAAATAAACTTCTTATCTACAAAGCGATACTCAAACCAATCTGGACATATGGCATTGAACTCTGGGGAACTGCTGCATTTTCAAATATTGAGATTATCCAACGTTTTCAATCAAGAACCCTTAGATTAATCGTAAATGCTCCTAGATATATAACAAATGAATGTATACATCGCGATCTCAACGTTCCGGTAGTTAAGGATGTCATTAAAAGCCAAGCCAGTAAACACAAAAAACGTATGTTACATCATCCCAACCACTTTATGAGCAGAATTATAGCAGAAGGAAGAACGTTCACACGCCTTTGCAAACAAACGCCATTGGCACTTTAATGTGTCCGACTTCAACAGACGGATGTGCTACTGAGCTCAGTAAATTAAAGCTCAAAAAAAAAAAAAGTTTTAAGTATTTAGTCACTTTTAAATATTGTTTATTGTCTACTCTAAATTGACAGATCGCAATATAAGAAAATAAAATTAAAAAAAAAAAAAAATTATTATCGGCAGGCCAATATGTTGGCTGCCCAGTGGAGATTACGGCTAGTACATTTTTTCTACTTAGAATAGAATTGTAGAGCTGTTTTCCTTTTGGATTACAGCCTCGTGAATCCCAATACGTGTGCTTGGCATTGCTTGACAGTCTCCTGCTGGAAGAAATCTGTCACCTAGTGATAAGAACGTATCCGTAAATTGGGTCTCAGTAATGTTGAAGCGAGGGGGGCAGTAAACTGTCGATAAAACCAAATTTTTCCCTTTGTGCCTAAGGCATATTGATACGGCTTGCATATAATTATAAGCATATATACCTAGAAAATTGTGTTTTTGACGCCTTCGAATCAAAATATCTTTACCACCATGTGTTTTGCCATCTGGGTGATTGGTTTTATAGTATAAATAACCAGGAATAGGAAAGAAATTTTTGTTTGTTAGATGTGTTTCTGAGCAAAGCATTATATCCACACTTTCTCCGGCCATGAAGTTTGTGAGTTCAAGTTAATGTTGGCTTAAGCCGTTTGCATTTCATGTACAAATTTTTAAAGTACTCATTTATTAGCCAAAAACATTTGTATTAATTGGCTTTGCATTTTAACTATCTCGTTAAGAGTAGTTTGCATGATTGACATAAACTGAGTTAAGCTCTGGGTGAGAGTGGAGATCATAATTTCCAAACTATTACATTGAATTGAAGGGGCTTGTTGCTTGTCAGATTTAATGACATTATCAGACGAGACACCTGGTGTTAAACGCTTAGAACTTAAAGGTTGGCGTACTTCAACTAATTTGATGGGGTTACTTCTTGTAGGATTACGCAACGCTTCTTTGTGCAGAGCTAACCTGTGCTGCAGTTCTTTATAAATAGGACAATCTCTGTAGTTTGCGGTGAGATTTCCACTGCAGTTGCTACATTTTTTGGAGTTGGAATCTTTTAATGCCTTTTTATCGCATTCGGAACTACCTTGAAGCTCGCCACATGCTACGCACACTGTTCGATGAGTGCAATATGACTTAGTGTGGCCATCCTCTTGACAGTTTGGGCATTGTACAGGGCCATTTCGCTTGTGGGCTTTCATATTTTTAAGCTTAGAAGCTTCCGGGTAAAGTTCAACTTTAAACATGGGTTGTGGGATTTTATTTTTATTAATTGTATTTATAACTGCTATAGCGCTAGTCTTTTTCGCTTAGGGCATTTGTGATTTCAATGGGACAACAAGACCTTTGCTACTCTTCAGTTGATATGTGTAGTAATTTTTCTTGCTGTCGTCGAAATGTTTTGTAATGACCCTGAAATTATTTTCGGTGTCAATTTGTATCTTAGTTTCGTTTATTGCTCCTTAGTAAAGGAACAATATAAAAAGTATTGCTTCCAATCAGACGTGCTAGGTAAGTGTGACAAGGATATTTGGACTGCGTTCACGCAGGTAAATTGGAGGGGGCTTAAACTTTTTGGTAGTAGGCTAATTAGCTTCCTCTGTGAATTCAGCTAGCTCAGCAAATCTATTGCCAAAAAGTATATTTGTGAGTGAACTATCTTTGTTAATTTTATTTATTTTAGTACCTCTTAAGTCACCTTTTTGAGGACTAAGTTTTCTTTTAATATTGACATAGCGTTTCATGCCTGTTTGGATTTTAGTTTTATTTTTTGCACTCGCTAAGTCGGGAAATGCAGGCGATACTGCTGAAGACACAATGTTTTATAAGCTTTTATCGGTTTGTATAGTTTTGTGTAGCAACTTGTTTGGTGCGTCTATTACTAGATAAGCATTACGGTTGTTTGGGATTTGAGCATTTAAGTTTAAGTAGTGCAAAAAGAAAATAAACGAAAATCCGACAAAGCGCGCGCTATTTTCAAATTAATATTTTATGCACATTTCAGTTTTCGAATTGCTTTTTGTCGATAATTTAATTCTTTTTGTGTTTTTATAATAATTACAAAAGCGGTTTTTACAAAAATAATAAATTTAAATAGTTTTAAAACTATGAATTTTAAATTTTTCGGAGATCGTGTTGAGAACACGTCCGCTTACTAGAAATGTTGTAAATATTGTCACCACACATTTGAAACGGCTTTAAAGTGCAGATCCAAGGAAATGTGGACTGATGAACTGCCAGTGGTGCTACTCGTTCTGAGAAACACATACAAAAACGACTTCTGCAGAGATGGTTTATGGTTCGACAGTTAGATTACCATATGAGTTTTTCGAAAGTTCCAGTAAAGACATTTCCGATTCAGGATTCGTATCATCACTGCGAAACGTAATGTAGCAACTAATGGAGATACCTACTACAAAGCACTCCATATCAAAAACATTTGTACAATGTACTTATGTAAGTTAACATTCCCTACACATAAATATTATTTTATTATTATTTATAACCCAACACATTCGACATAAATATTGTTTTATCATTACTTATAAATTATTTTACCTGTTTACAACAGTGCTGAAATGTTCTCAAATTACCGTTGACAGGTTATATAAAATTTGCTTACTGGAATCGGGTTGCAGCATGTGAACTGCAACTAAGCAACTTTTTAAAGCATAAAAAATTAGTCTAAGAATGGTAAGATTTAAGAATGGTAGATTTAAGAAATTAAAAATTAAAATACACAGATTTTTTTCTCATACGAAAACGGAAAGTCGTTTCATTTAACTTGTACATTAATGTATGTACTCATGTTTACCTACGCGATGATACTGTTCGACCATGTCTCAAAGCACCTAACGATGGACCATTTAAGGTAACTAATCGCGACGATAAGCTGATGATTACTCTACGGAAAAAATACAGTACGTGTTAGTATAGATTAGTGTTGTTCACATTATTTGAAGTTTTTAAAAAACCGAAGTTCTTCGATTATTCGAATATTCGCATTTCAACGAAGTCTTCGAAGTTGGAAAAAACTTCGAAGTTTTTGTAAATTTTTGTTCTCGAAGTCTTCGAAGTTTAAGTGTAGTGAAAAACTTCGAAGACTTCGTAAGCAAAAGGTGAATTAAGAACGCAAAATGCAAACAAACGTGCATCACACAAATTATTTGAGGGATGAAAGCATTTGTTTTGTTTGTACGGTTTTATGTTTTTTTTTTTGTAATCTATGTAGAAAACTAAAAACATGTTTTTTTGTTTTATTTTAATACATAAAATTTATTTTATTATTAAATATGTATTATAATATATATTATTATTAAATATGTTATTATTAAAGTTTATCACTACACTTAAACTTCAAAGACTTCGAGAACAAAAATTCACAAAAACTTTGAAGTTTTTTCAAACTTCGAAGACTTCGTTTACTATTCGAAAACTTCGAGTACTTCGTAAATTCGAATATGAACAGCACTAATATAGATCGGGTCAAAGCTGCCTATCTTTGTGGTGACGAGTAAGAGACAGACCAACAGCAGACAATACAACAGACTTTTCTGTATCAAAAAACAGAAAAAAATAACCAGAAATATCTTGTAAATAAAACTTAAACATCATCTAGCGGCAGGCAAATTAAATTTCCAGTTAGGTTTGGTGAAACTTTATAAGACGATCAACAAACTTCCATAGCATCACAAATTTTATTGTGATATTGCTTCGTCTAGTCTTTGGAGAGATGTGGCACACGACTCTGCAAACGCAAAAGCAATCTTAGCTTAAAGATCTTGTTCAAAAATATACACTTAAGGCGTGCTCAACAGCGCTGAACATTCATTGTTCGCTTGACTGTACCAGCACCCTCACTTCGTGAACTATTATAATAAATTGTTACTAATAATACAAATAAATTTAAGTGATATTAAAAATTTATGTTTTACTTTTTTCTTTTTCTTGATGAATAATCTCCATAGATTTTTATCTTGTTCATAAGGTAATACTAAAATGTTAATAGAAAAAATCAAATTTTCATTAATAATATTTTTAATAATGTGAAACTGCATATTTAGTACATTTTTGATTATTTAGGGGGTGGAAACTAAAATCCAAATACTAATTCATCTTGTCTCTCTTTTAATATGATCGTTAAATACAGGGTTATTAATTTTAAAATACATATTTTTTTTTTTATGAAAATAATATTTGAAGATTCTGATACTGGTGGTTGGGGTCCATGGAGTGATTGGACGCCGTGCTCAACTAATTGCTTTGGGGGAACACGCAATCGTTATCGGTTTTGCGACTCACCGCCTCCACGTTATGGTGCAAAGTTTTGTGAAGTAAGACAATTTTTAACATAATTTTATTTATTACATCATTTATAAAATGATTACAGAATAATAATTAGATTTTAATAAATTTTCTTTATTATACCTTTTCTTTATATAATTTTAGAATTTATTTAATTTTGATACACAAAACAGTTTTCTTTTCAAATTAATTATTTCAGAAAATAAAATATTTAAATTTTGAATCTTTATTGAAGGGTACTTCTGTTCAAACAGAAACTTGCAATAATAATACCTCACAAACTTGGAATTGCATATATGAAGGTGGTATTGAACTGAATGCAATAAAACTTACACAAAATTTACAAGAAACTGGATTAAAATGCCGATGTGGTTGCATTATTCATCTCACTTCATCAAAACAAAGCCGTATAATAACTGCAACAACTCAGACTTGTCCAGGAAAATCATTTTGGTTAATTCAGGTCTGTAAACATATAAAAAAAATTATTTAATTGAAATTAATTTTTAAGAATTTCCATGTGTACAGTACTAGTTATTTACTTTGTACTGGTCTTGTAAAAAACAATTGTGTTAAAAAACTGTTACGATTAAAGATTTCATAATAGGTCTGTTCCCATATTTTTTTAATGAAACTCAAGTAAAGGTAAAAATTAGAATAAAATAAAATAGCTCGGAGCTTTCAAGTAATCGAAGCTTTCGAGTACATCATATGTTTTTATTTTTACTGACCGTTCTAACGACACGGATTCGTCGTTTGATTGTAAAGAAATTAATTTGATGGGAAATTAATTTATAAATATTAAAGTAAAATATATTAATTTTGACTCAAAATTTTTGAAGAAAAATTTCATAAACGTATAATCTGTTAGAAGTCGATCACAGCCGCACGTGATTGTTTAACTTGAATATTTGATATGGCAGATTTGACTGCTACGGCAGCCTATTATAGCAGAGTTATCCGCAAAGGTGAGCATAATGTTACTTGTACATTAGGACGAAGGAAGAATAATAGTAGTAAGAAGCTAATTAAGAGTATTTGCTTATTTTATGGATCATTATGAACAGAAACTTCACTCACTCATTTGGGTAGAAACCGAAATTAATAACTTTAAACAATCTCGTCATGTTATGCAAAAAATTAATACCTGAAGAAGAAAAATATTGAATTGCAGACTTATATTTGAGTATGCGTAATTCGAAGTAGTGGAATTTTCTTTGTAAAATAGAAATAATAGTAAAAAATTATTGTGTTTAATTTATGAAGAGGGAAAACTGGCTTTGTTATCGATTGCTAGCTAATTACACCAAAAACGACGATCAAATGAATAGAAGGCTTAAAATTATCTGTAGAATGTATATTTTTCAAACATGTTCAAATAAAAAAAAAATTAAACATTTTCATGTGTATATTCAATAGAGTACTGCACGCGCGCATTTGATTTCAGTTTCAAAGCATTCTATTGTGTTTAGAATGGTAGCATACTCTCACTCTCAACGAACAAATACGAATGTATAGGCATAAAAAAAAAATGGAATGGAATAAATATTTGTTTCGTTTGTTTAGAGTACTCTAACTCTAAACATTCTAAAAGTAGTTGAAGTAGTTGGGAGTACTCTAAGCATTTGATTTTCAGTTCATACAAAAATTATGTGTTTTTAAATAGTAAGACACAAATTTATTTATTTAAGTTTTTTTATTAATTAAATATTATTTAAAATGTTGATAATAGTAATTTGTTGATTACATATATAATATGACTTAATATATTAATTAAATATAAAAAAAATTTTGAACAAAAATTTATTTAAAAAAATTATAAGTTTTTTTACAGTTTTTACAGTTCACAAATTTAATTTAATATGCAAATTAAATGTTGAGCATCGTCTGACTTAATTCCTCTTTTTCAAGATTGTTGTGTAAAACATGATTTGATTGATAGATCTTTGATTAGATGAAATCAATGTTCTTTTTTCTGATATTAAGTTCCGAGCAACTGAAAAAAACCCTTTCCGAAGATGCACTACTTGCTGGTGTTGCAAATAATTTACAAGAAACTTTGTAAAGTAGGAATTCTGAAGGAATTCTTAAGAAATTTCTAAAAATCTCTCTTGTCATAAATAGATATTTTTACCATATCATGCATAAAATTATTTTCCAGGAAAAGGTAAATATGTGAAGCAATTTATTTTGTTACATCATAAAAAACTATCGACAAAGAAGGAAATTCTGCGCAAACCGTTTTTTTAAGTTAATCTTTTGCATTAGATCTACCTGTTTAAACAACTTTTGCATTGAAAATAATAGAAAATTAAACCTAATTTACGTGCTTTGTTATTGCAATTATTGCAAATCTCTACGCACATCCAACTTTCTTTACTTTTGCGCAGGCAACCAAACGCACACAAAATAAATAAAATATTTCTTTGCAAAAATAGAATTATTTGAAATACTCTAAAAGTGATTGAAATACTCTAAAAGTGATTGAAATACTCTAAAATATTTGTTTATTTGATTTTAAAATTCAAAACAAACGATTATAGAGAACAAATCAACCCCCATTCCATTGAAACGAATGCGGCGGAAACGAATTCTATCGGACCGTTTCTGTTATTCGTTCGTATTCGCTTTAGAAATAATTTGTAAATATGGTACACATTTGAAAATAAAACGAATGACCGCAAAAACGAATGTTTTGATGCAGCACTTTAATATTCAATATACTTTCAA